GTCACTTTTACTATCTTTTACGATGCAATATGTTTTACTCAATGTTTTATACCTTTTAGATGCTCCACTTTATCGTGTATAATCACTTATATGTTTTATTTCTAACGAGAGTAATATATAATATAAACGATTGTATTGATGTCGAAATCATTGACGGTAATGAAACGTACATATCTACACATATAAACGAGGATATATTCGAATATATCATATATTATATATATATATATCTAATTTTAAAATAATTATATATTCGAATTACTGGTGCAGTTTAACAAAATAATGCATTTTATATGGTTTCTTTTGGAATACAAGATTCTTGAAAATTTAAACAATTTTATAATACTCACATACAGAAATAAGTTTCAAAATGTAATTAAAATAAGCTATATAGAAAGTAAAAATACTCGTTTTTTATAGATGAAGCCAAGTTTAATTGAATCCAATCTAACTCACCGAACGTGCGGAGCGTGTACGATTAGAGGCTTAAACGAAGCGCGTTTATTTGTTTTCTGTAATAGCAATAGGAAAACTCGATTTGCTGTACAATCGACAACATATAGATATCGTGCACGCGGGACAAATAAATCATGCTAGAGGTGCGAGAGACATTCGACACAAGCCTATATATGTAAAGTATATAAACGTACAAGCGCAGTATTCGCGATATGCGAAAACGCGATTGAATCATAAACGTGTATAATTATTGCAGACAATCGCTTCACCCGACGCCGCGACGCGCAACTCGTCATAATCGTTGATGATTATTATTAACGCGTCATAATACATCATTCGTTTCTGATAATAAATAAAAAAACACAACAAATTCGCTTTAACTCCGAAGTTCGAACTATAAAATGGCGGACTCTCTTCTTCGCGCGCGCTTTGCGCGACTTGCGCGTCGTACTTGACGCAGTCGAGCCAATCGTGTACATCGAAAATCAAATAGCCAAAAGCCAACGACGTTTAATCACATTATTACTCGCACAAGGTAAATAATACGTTCTATTATTGTCATCGCATAATAAAAATATTCTCAAATGTATATTTTCTACAGCATATGCATAAATATTGTTAATCTCGCGAAAATTATTTTATCGCCTAACGATTATTCTATAATGCGTAAAGCCACCAAATCCTATACCTCGCGATACACTATACCTAGTCTTTTCAAAGTGTAATTGAAACAATCGTGAAAATTGCTTTGCACTCGATACGCTCGACAATGATTGATTGCAGAGACGATAAATTTGATCGCCCGCCGCATTACTCGACACTTTAGCGACTAATTCAACACACACGGGTCACTGTTGACGGATAAAAATTGCACGGAACGCGGAGCGACATCGCCGCGCGACGACAAACCAGACAAACCGACGTAATGTGACGCTACGCGATACAACGCAACGCGACGCACGGCGCCGTGACAGTCAAAGATGGCGGTTTCGCGCGACAGCATGCGCGCTGAACTTGACGTAGCGTTACAAAGCGCTCGATCTACATTCTCGAGCCTTGTAAATATCGAAAAAAAAAACTGAGCATGCTATTTAAGATGGCCTCGAACAAAGACCGATGACGAGCAGTTCTCTTCTTCGATAGAGAGTATTTTATAGATGGACGTGCAAGAATCTAGAAAGCGTCACAACACACGATTTGCAGTATGATAAATTGATTAACTGTTCTCCGAGACAAAACGCGAGAAAATCGTTTTGACATTGGGAAAAGAGATTAATCGGCACGCTAAGCTCTCTGAAAAGCACTCGGAATCTATCTTATCCATTCTGTCGAGCTGCCGAGTTCTTTTGTTTCCGCCGGCAACTAGGTCCATTTGTCGAAATTACGTCCATTCGACGAAGCACGAGAGAGAAAAGTAGGCTACCAACGACGGGTCTCATGAAATTTCATCCAAGTTTCCTATTTTATACGAGCCAACGGAGAAAGAAAGAGATTCTATCGCGTCAACTAATGCTCTCTCAACTTTAAATTTTCTAATAAAAAAGACAAGAAAGTTTTTATCGCGACACGTTCCAGATATACGCTAATAACATTTAATCTTTATGTGCTTATATCAATCATCAGGAACATACACCTTCTGATACAACGTTTTATAATTTATAGCGACCAAGATTTTGTCGTAAAATTCGATAAATATTTCCACAAGAACGTCTTATTATGATGCTAAAATTATGAAAGTTGCATTACGATGTCACGTTTGCTAAACGACCGTTATAATAATATACTGTTGAATAATATATTTCTTATCGAAAGCCGAAACGATTTTTTCTTTATCGATTTGTAATAGAATTTGATATTTTTTTCAACTTTGAAAATTTTATAGTTTTATAAGATAAGTAATAATCAAATTAAATAATTTTAATAAAATAAAATTGTGAGCAAAAATTAATTTTGTTCGTCATTTATTTTTGCTCATATAATAAATAAGATATTATGTCGATTAAGCGCATATATTTTGTTCATAATCTCTTATAATCACAAAACTTGTATTCTTTTAAGACTTAGACCTAGAAAATAAAAATCGGAGCGTAAAAATCTAGAAGAGTGTGACAGAAGTGTAAACGAAACTTCTAGCAAGCGCAAATTAGAACAGCAGCAAAAAAAGCGTTTTAAAAGATAAACGGTTCTCTTACATTTTCCTCCCTAACAGTTTCGTTTACACTTCTGTCATTCTCCCTTTATATCCGATCTTTACGCTCCAATCTTTATTTTCGTCACGGTTCAGCTATATGTATCCTCTTAAAGCTTATTCAAGTACTTAATTCCCTAATGGATTGAGTCCATTCCCGGAATTGCCGCTGGTTTATGCAGCAAGAATTTGAGAAAGGAAAAACGTACAATGATGGAAATTTTCTAAGTTTTTTTCCATTTAGCAGGTTCAGCAAAATTCAAATTATCTCTATTTTAAACGGTACCGCATAATTAAGGTTCTCTTCTGCGACGAGACGTACGTGAGAGAAATTAGTCTACGTTATTGAAACATGGCTCTATAACAATAATTCTCGCAAAAATATTTCACAAATACATGGCGGATCGAAAATCGTGCTTGAAAAGAAAAAGAATTTTTTTACATATACATATAATTTAAACATATATAATTTTTTACATAATATACAATAGTATAATCATTTCAAAGCGACATAAAAGAAATATTCATCGCCTAGCAAACTTTTAAAAAAATTACAAAATGAATTATCCTTTACTTTTGAATTATCACTCCTCGCATCAATAAACATTCAATCACTCTTTCATTAATTCTTCGGATATTATGTGTATACTTAGCATACATTTTTAACTGACGAGCAATGAATAATTTATACTACGGTGTATTTGTAGAATGTTGAATAATCTGAAGAACTATGGCGAAATCTTACGGAATGGAATAAAATAAATGGTGATTGTGAACTATAGGGGATCCAGCTCCGATGATCTTGACATGTGTGGTCAAAGTCATAACCCTGAATGAACTCCAATAAATTTTACCTCGTTATTCATAAAGTTATTAATAAAAAAGTTTAACAAGTAATGTCTTATTTCTATGATATACAATCAAAAACTACCCTATGATATACAATCAAAAACTACCCTTCCTTGTCTATAGGAGCGCTCGACTTTTCACGCGAAAGAAGTTCACCCCATCTTTCCCCTTGCCTAGGAGCACACGATTTTCCACTCAAAATGAGGGTCACCCATAGTGGAAGGGATAATATGGTGTGTGCAGTTGGACAGTGTCTCTGCCCTCTCTGTCTATGGACTGTTCATAAGGAGGAACGGCTACCAACTGTAAAACGCTAAACATGGGACGAAATTTATAGTCCGTTTTTATTTTAAAACTTAAGATGCTAATACAGCCCTCGTATTGACTTATGACATCTTAAGACTGTACTTAAGGCAGTCTTAAATGCAAAAATCGACTATGAATACCGGCCTGTTTTGCGTCGTGAAATTGGTACTGAATCTTACCTTGTTTAACATACTTTATGTTTCTCTTTCTATAGAAAGAGAACCTGTGAGATGCATTATAAAGTGTGTCAAACAAGGAAAGATTCAGTTTCATAACGCGAAACAAGCCGGTATTCATAGCCGATTCTTGCATTTAAGACAGTCTTAAGATGTCGTAAGTCAATTCGAGGACTGTATTAGCATCATAATACATTATTTAAGACGGTTTTAAAATAAGAACGAACTATGAATACCGCCCCATGTTTCACAGTTGGTAACCCTTGCGCCCTCTTGACGAACAAAAGTAGGCGTGGTTTTGCCGAACTCCACACACTATGTAATCCTTACACCATGGGTTCACCCCACCTCCCTCCCTACTTAGGAGCGATCGACTTTCCAAGCGAAGTAACTTCAATCCCATCTCCCACCCTGCCTCAAGGCGTATAACATTCCACACGAAGCGAGTTCCACCCAACTTCCCCCTTCCCCCTACCTAGAAGCGCATGACTTTCAACGCGAAACAAAATCCACCTGCACAAAAAGTCAATCGCCCCTTGGCAAGAAAGGAGATGAAGTGGAACTCGCTTCGCGTAGAAAGTCGGACGCTTCTAGACAGAGGGGGAGGGAAAGGGGAATGTATGCAGTATTTCTTAATAACGGATCTAGTAAAAATAAAATATTATTAATCTTAAACTTTTTTTGTTAATAATTAATCTTAAACTTTTTTGTTAATAACCTTTTAACGAATAACGAACGCCGGCTAAAATTTGTTAGAAGTTATTTAAAACATATGTCAAGGACGTCAAGGTCAAGGTCATCTGGATCCCCTATAATGTACAATTATCAAATAAATTTTCTAATTAATCTTGTTATTTATGGAATTTTATATTAATACACGCAATATTAAAAAATATAAAACTAAACGGTCATTATTGTGTTTAAAGAATTTGATATTTCGATCGTAATTTTAATTTTGTTAAGAGTACCAATAAAGTTACGTATTATTTACATTATATTACACAATCAAATTAATTATTAAAATATTAAACTATTAGTATCGCAAGAAGAATTGCACAGTTACAAAAATTCGATATTCTTCTGTATTCTTAATCCTATATTCTCAAATGCTCAAAAAATGTCAGTTACTTGTGTGATTGGCAACATAATCTAATATTACAGTGCAACACATATTCGATGTATATCACACAGCTTTATGAGAATATACACGGCTTAATTATAGTATATTGCCAGAAGTAACTCAATTTCGAAATACTTACGATTTATCTATAACAATCTAGTATTTAATTAATGTTGGAGTTAATTCACTCGCCTATGTAGTTATTAAGAAGAAAGATGACGACAAATCCAACGACTACCGACAGAAATTGTAAAATGCCCGCATATCTGCGTGAACTTTTGTGCCATCGCGTCCTTTCCCTCGGAAGAACTTCACTTACGGTGACGTATAGCAAAGTCCCACCTGCCAGACCTTGCAAAATTGGCAATACCACCTTGGACCAATCCGTATTCGCCTATGCGTGTTCAAAATGGACATTAAAATTATAGCGAATTCGGTTAGATATGCGCACTTGTATACATATTAAAGCCGTTGTTCACTGATTTAATCTATGTAAAAGTAAACTACACAAATATTTCTAGTTGTAAAATACGGAATTTACTTAAAAGCAATAAAGTGTATTGAGGATAGTTTAATCCATTTTTATATTTATATTAAACACATTTTTATGTCAATTTGTGTATCAACTGCTTTAATGTACACCAATGCACACTGACAATGAGTGCATCCACAATCGAATTCGCTATTAAATATATTCTTCCAAATTGATGTTATCCAATGATATTTAAATAAGAACTCGTCGAAAAATAAGTCTTTTCTCACCTGAAACGTTAACATGCCGATGCCGATTCCAATGACGGATCCAAAAGCGAATAGAAAAATCGCAAATATTAATTTAGGAACAGATTTACTAACTCCCGCTAATTCCAGCCCCAAACAGAAGCCGAGGACAAACTTGTGTGATGCTACCGCTCCGGTTAATAACAACACCTTAAAAAATATATTTTTTCGTAATATCGTATACATTATACAAAATTCTTTGGAAAATCTAACGATAAAATTGAGATTGTGACAAATGTCTCGTAATGCGTCTTACACGAGTGTTTGCTTCATAAATATGCATAATACAGAGAATATATTCCATCCTCCCGCTCTCTCCCTCTCTCTCCTCTCCCCCTCCCCCTCCCTCTTCTCTCTTTCATCAAATTTACATGTTTAAAAATTATGCAAATTCGATGTAAATTTAACATAGAAACAACGCTGTCGGAGCTACTCTGCTAGCTATATTATTATCTCATAAATCCAATTTATTTTTCTTCTCATTACTATTTATTACACTGAATAATAATTAATAGCATACCTCAGCAATTTTCGTCTGCAATCCTATTGCAAGTCCTTCCAGAACGGCATGTACAGTGAGAGCGAGAGCGAGACCGGCGAGACCAGTATTGGCATCGGTACATTGTTCGCCACGGTTTCCGTGACATGAAAATATATTTTCTTCGTTTGGTAGTCTTGAACGACAGTCACACGCGATGGATTGCGTCGCGCCGTAGCTAGTAAATGTCCGCGCGTTATTGGCACTATCACCAAGAGGATTTTGCCGGTAATTGAGCGGTAATTTCACGTCGCCTTCGGACATGTACACTTTACTGTCTTGCGAGGCGGCATTGTAACCAACACTATGATTTCGATAATTCAAACAACTGAAATTCAAGATAAATGTAAAGGTACCTTTACATGGCAGCGTCAAGCGTCGAGCGTCAGAGTATGAGCAGTAATATGTTTAATAATTTTACTTAAAATTGAATTTAATGTACGAGATACACTAATAGTGGAATCTTGTAGTTTACACTGTATAATGTAAATAAATATAAATTTTCAGCATTATATATTAAAATAGTAGTGTATATTAGAACATAACATAATTTACCATTTTGCGCTAAGAAGCTGTGCAGAAGATTATTGCACAGGAATCTGAAGATTCAAACTTCTGCGCAATAATCTTCTGCACGGATGCTCGACGCTTGCATATAATGGTATGTACCTTAATTCAATCAAAGGGAAACAGAATCGAGATCACACAAAGGTACAGCTGGTCACACAAAGGTTGCAACACTTTTTCTTCGCATGTACAGCCGGTCGTAGAAAGGTTGCAATACTCTTTTTCGATGGGTTTCGGAACGCAGCTTGTTCTCCGAGTAATTAATAAAATGGTTCTTACTCATGGATCTATAAATAAGAACCAATCGCTCGGTGAGCAAGCTGTACTCCGAAACCCATAAAAAGAGTATTGCAACCTTTCTATGACCGGCTGTACATGCGTGGAAAATACGAGAAAAGTGCTGAGAGTCGGCGACGTTCAAACGTTTAATTCGTAATGCTGATTCTACAATAGCCCATATTCGTAATCAAATCTCAAGGCAGCACTTAAGATCGTCTTGGTCAAGACTGTCTTATTCAATCAAGATCGTCTTGAAATCGTAACAATTCATAGTCACGAAATAAGACGATCAGTATTAGCCATGGCTAACGAAATTAGCCATCAGTAACTAAGAAAATAATGCTTATTTTGAACAAGATATATTTATGAATCATGTCAAAACCGTTCAAGACGTTTTGAAATAAGATCGTCTTCGATAAAGTTTTAACTTGAGATTTTACTCAAGTACCGTCTTATTTTTCGACTATGAATCTAGAGGACATTGTAAGACCATACTTAAAAATATAAGTACTGACTATGAATATCGGATTATTTACACCGTACATTTAGACCGCGGTCTATACAATAAGTGTCTTTATTTATTCTGTAAGTTGAACAAAGACATCTATCGTTTAGAGTCGCGGACTAAGCGCACGTAAACGTAGTCATAGCCCAGTGACAAATAATAATGGATTCAACGTCGAAATCATCAAATCGACGTCGATTCGACATCGATTTCATTGACATTTCTCACTTCTGGGAGACCGGTATTCATAATCGGTTCTTATCATCGACATAGAATGAGAGGCAGATAAATGAATGAACGTTCTTTCTGTTTACTAAAGCCTGATTGGTTGCTGTTGATCCATCAACCAATCAGGCTTAACAGAGAAAACAGAGAAAGAATATTCATCCATTTATCTGCCTCTCACTTTACTCATGTTTCTACCCCCACCACTGCCATCGATGATCCATTCTATACGTTGATGATTCTTATTTTAAAACCATCTTAAGTAATGTGGCCCTCTGGTTGATAACATCTTAAGGGCCGATCTCACCAACTTTGATTAACTTAATCGATTGATTGTTACATTGGAACTAATCAATTGCATTTGCTGTTTAGCAGAGTTGACCAATCACGGTTAACACTTAATCGATCGATTAGGTTAATTGGAGTCAGTGAGACCGGCCCTAAGACGATCTTAAATATAAGAATCGACTATGAATACCGGTCATTGTAGAATCAGCTTAATGTCCACATCCTGCCATCGATATTGGAAATGTCACGGCAATGAGAACGTTACATACGTTGTTACATAGTTACGAAAACAAGCCAAGTAAAGTGCATTTTAATCATTTCGAGTTGCATCTACGGGAATTATGTATGATATACACGATAGATATTTTATGCACGCAATTTCCAAAGTAATTAAAAAAAAATTAAAGAATATGTAAATATTTAAAGAGTATTGAAGTAAAAAAAATATTGGAGAAACTTTCATGTAACTGACTTAAATATGACTTAAATATAACTTGCATCGGTCATGAATTCGAGTGTATTCGATCTCGACGCTTATTGCGGATAGAAAGATATTCGAGTGTCAATCTTAAGAATAGGCAACATCGCAAATCGATATCTATATCCCAGACAGCACACAATATTTACAAAATATTTACAAAATATTTAGAAATATTTATAAGATTTATTGTAAATATTTTGTAAATATTTTTGTGGTTTTAGAATTCACACAGATCATAAATATTTATTATAAATATTATGAAATACTTATTAGAATAGTTATAGTAAATGCTATAAAAATACTTAATGAGACATTATAATCTAAATAAAAAATATTTATTAGAAATATTTATTTATATTTATCATAAATATTGCATAAAACATTTAGTCTATATTTTAATAATATTTCGAATAAAGCTTTATATAAAATATGTATAAAATAATCTATATGTATAAAAATCTATATAACATTTCAAAAAATAAATATTAATAAATATTCTGTGCTGTCTGGGATCTAGCTATGGCATGAGTGATCATTCTTCGTTGGCATTATTGCGGTGTAAATTCGCTCCGTTCATCATGTTCATTTTTCATCTTGATAGAAGATATTTTTAAAGATCAAGGATAGCTCATTCGAGTATCACTGGACGACCGTTTTGTACGAAGCATTTCGCTGCTGTTTGTGAACTTTAGAATTTATTTTGACAAGCTCTTTCAGCCAAATAAAGCCAAGTAGTTAAAAATAATGTATCGTTTATCACCATTATATGGTCTTTTATATCTACCACAGAGTTCATTAATTTATCTCGAAGATCTTTCGTGCGATTTTTACCAACGACGAAAAAATTTCAAAACTACAAAGGGAAATTTTTCATTTTAACTGATTGAATTATTCAAACGAGATTTTATCTAAAGTAATAATAAATTTAATAACATTTTTAAAAAGTCGAAAAATATTCGATAAAATTATTATCTTCGATTACAATCGTATTAAATGATTCCAATTTAAATCAACTTACATACGTATCACAGTGTTATTTTTTTTTATTCCCGCATCAATTTTACATTTTAAGCTACCTATACATCGAGTTATCGATATTGATTGCTTATTACAAAAAGTTTTCTTAAAAATAAGAAACCCAAGATTAACGCAAGCGTGCTATAATTTTTATATTTTTACAATAATCTTGAAAATTTCGTTAATCATGAAAAAGCATTGTCTCGTCGTTTATCGATGATAATAGACGATAAACTCACAGGACGATTGACGCTACATGTATCACATGTAAGTGTTCGGAAATAAATCATGCTATTAATTTTTTAAAAATAGGATTATTACTCTAGGAGCATGATACATAAATAGAATTTATATATATGTATGTATATATATTATATATATATATATAAAATATATATACACACACAAAGTACATATAATCACAACATATGTAGGATCATAATGTTTAGTAGAAAGAATAAGAGTTGATTGCAGAATAGCTTTGAAGTGTAAGCATTCGTCACTTTAGGACCTTTGCATCGTAAATTTTCCATCGATCGTTTTACAATCACGTCTCTTATACGCTCATGAAATGTGAACGTATTCAAAGAAGCTAAATGATGATACGAAGCACGTACCTACCCTCGCTCATGCGCGATCCCAGAGTCCATGAATCTGGAAGGACGAGTATCCGTCTCGAGCTCATGATTTCTGTCTCGACAAAAATAATGCACGCATTCTTCGACCAAATACAGCACGAGGAAGCCACAGGAGAACACCAGCTCGGAATAATCCGATAGACCTTGACGTACTTCTGGTAGCACGTGAAGCATCGCGGTGGCTAGGAGAACACCAGCGCCGAAGCACAAGGTACAAGAAAGCAGCAGTTTCTGTTGGAGCTGGTGAGTACGCGAAATGAAACAAGCGGGCACAATGCCGACGACGAAGCTGCCGGCACCAATCAGTACCATCGATGCCAATTTCGCTTGCACGGCGTTACTGAACATCGTCTCGTTTTCTATTAGATATCTCGCTGTGTTACGATTTTCGACGTTTCAAACGTACGCGATCTCGATCCCTGTATCCTCGTTCGCAATAGTAACTTAAGACTAGCGTATCTCATCTGACACTACCAGATACCAAATTCGCGGAAATTCCACCTCGGTCTCAATCCTCACACGACAAACAAGATGTTTTTTAGGAATACTTTGAAGACGTTGCATGTGCGTCGTAACAGCACGATGGACTCGTGATGTCTTAAGACTCTAATCTGACGGCAATGATAACGCTGATAGAGACCGACACTTGGCATCTGCTATCCATCCACCGACGTAGATATTGGAGGAAGTCTACTATAACTTTATCATTAGTTTCGCGACTAACGGTACATGTTAGGCCGGAATCAGACTACGCATTGAAGAATGAGATTGAAGATTGAAAGATTAAAGTTTGACCAATCAGAACAAAAGGAACCAAAATTTCTTTGTCCTCATTGCTGAAGTTTCAATCTTTAATCTCAATCTTCAATGCATAGTCTGATTCCGGCCTTATATACCTCTAGTTCTGATCTTAGCTTATCGAACGCAAGCGTTCGCTGATGAGAGAGTAAATTTCGTTCCCAAGGGATAAATTTTGAAGGATTTAAAGAAAGACACGCACACACATGCAGAAATGTCCTCTCGAAATGTTAAATATTGTAAAATCTTGATAATCTAAATCTGCTAGCTATTAGATGAGTCTGTTCTTCACGCGATGACTACATTTGCACTCGTTCCATTCTTCAGAAGAATAGTTATGATTCATAACATAGATGTTATAACTTCAACGTAAATCGAGCCGTGTAAATGTAGTCACTAACAATTGACACGACGAAGGCGGTGTCATTAAATTAAGCTAAAAAGAAAAATTAGCGATAACATTCACGCGTCCGAGCCATAAGTGATACTATCGAAAAAATTTTATGAGAAAGCTAACGAAGTCGCTACCGTCTTTGAAAATGTCATTTCAATCAATTTGCGTATAATTGTGATAAGTAGAAAAAAAGTAAACATACATTGCGCGCAACAAAGTTAAGTCGCCAAATTGCCTTGCAATTTGTCTTGCACGCAAAGAAAAAATTTTTTTCATTAAATCTATCCACAGAATTTATCTTATATTTATGTATATTATTTATAATATACATTCTGAAAAAAAGACTCACATACGTACACCTCACTTCAATGTTTAAAGTTCTATACAATACACATACGATTACATACCGTTTAAAAAATAAAATTTTGGTAAATGTTCACCTTTACACAGCCCGCTCCAAACGACCTCCGAGTGACCTTGACCCTCAAGGAGATCAAGGTCACTGATCTTTTCCGTCGCTCGTTGCTCATTGAAAAGTTATAAGCAAAACAATTTTTATGAATAGGACACTTTAAAAACAAAAAAAAACTACCTTAAAATATATTTCCTGCTTTAAAAATAAAGATTTTCTCACAGAAAATTATCTTAAGACGATGCTAAAGCCCCCCTGTTTTACCACATTCCTATTCGGTGGGATTTCTCCGTATTGGATGTACGGATTGCAAAAGTATTATTACTTAAATTATAGTACGCACACAGAGGATGTTTGCTACACTGGATTTTATGAGAAAATCGAAAAAAAATTATAAAATTTACTTATTTTTGGCTCGCACAGCTGTCACCTCGGATATATATTTGCTTGATATAAGAGTTTTAGAGTCCATATCTTGAAAATAAGCGGGCAGCAAACATCACATTATTGAAACGAACGATACCGAATTTGTAGAACTAAGATTGAAAGTCTAGAAAAGATATATTCCCACCGAATAGGAAATACGTGTATACAGATGCTTTGCGAAGACTGGGACTGTCAACAGAGTCGAAATCCGCGTAGCAGTAGTTGCGCGGTCTTGCGATAGATGGTGCTGGCATATGTTAGATAAGAACAGACGTATGCGTTTGAGTAAGACAGAATAATATATATTATATAATATAATGTAAAAACTAAATCAAAGATGTCACCACTATTATCGAATTTGGAATTAAAAGAATCTGTACTATCGACCTTGATTGAGTTGGGTAATCGGTTTAGCATCCCCTTAAAGCAGAGAATTTTTGTTTTTAAAGAAGGAAATCTATTTTAATGAAACAGGAAATTCTTATTTCCTTATAATTTTTATTTTTTGCTTTATTTCATATAAGATCTTTTTTCACATAACAGATATAAGCTGTATTCATGTATATACACCTTACGGCCTTTTTCATAAGCATCATATATATATATATATATATATATATATATATATGTAATCAATTTTGATCATGTGATCTATTTTGACGCTGAAAATGAGCATTGAGCGTTAAGGCCACAGCACAGACTTTTGCATAACGCATAACGCATAGGTCTGGATCTACAATAGGGTTTTAAGCCTTAAGCCGTAAGAAATTGACCAATTACAGTCAAATCCGAGGAGAATAAGCGACTGTGGTTCGCCCATTTCTTACGACTTAAGGCTTAAAACCCTATTGTAGATCCGGACTAGTACATAAGCGAATCAACTAATCAAAATCTTTCTTTTCCCCCATTCCGTAAAAAATAAGAATTTTGATTGGTTGATTTCCTCTATGCATTATGCATTATGCGTTATGCAAGAGTCTGTGCTGCAGCCTTCAGCATGAAAAGGCATCTTCGATATTTCTTGACGCTAGAAAACGTCGCATGAAAAGACACCTTAGGGTGCGTTCCGTTTCTCGCATGATGCGCATAATGCGTCGTTTATCCTTGTTGCTCACCAAACGTTAAACAAGGACAATGGATGCATCATGCACATCATGCGCGATACGGAACGCACCATTAAATTACTCAATTCATAAGATCGACTACCGCCTTTTTTTACCAGTTTCTTTCGTTTTGAGTGAAAACGCGTTGGATGAGTACATTTTTATTAAGATTCTAGGGGGTGGAGGAAATGATTATCCATATTTAAATATAAAATAATTACTCAAAAGAGTATATAACAACAAGGTTATAGATTCGATGTGTAAATGAAAAGTGAGGTTATGGCGCAATATACGAATTAAAATATGATACAGAATGTTTTCGAGGAATGAAAAAAAGAGTTTACCCAATGATGAAAGTAAGCGTGAGGATGATAGGTATTACCGGAAAAAGCATCACGACGATCGTAAGAATGAAAAACGCATCTTCTCAAAATCCGCTGTGCGAAGCGACCGGGAAGCACACAAGATTTTCGATGAAGCAAGAAATTCTCTATCACGAAACTCGTCCTCGGAAAGTCGTCACGAAGATAGCAACGAGGACTCGTATTTCAGTAAATATAAACACGAATTGAATAAAATTTTCACGGCAAATCCGAATCTCATCCATGACATTGTGGATTTTTGGAAATTCGTCGAGAAATACGAGTCTGTTAAGAAGCAATTAAGCAATAATGATGAATCTGAGATTAATTCTGCTCTAAATTCCGTCGGGCTGCCAGAAAAGTATCACAAATCTCACTGTCTAAACTTTAAGCTTAATTTGTCCTATGGAGAATTGTTTGCCAGAGTCCCAGAAACAAAACCATTGATCAAATTACGACTGCTCAAGTTCAGGGATGTGATACTCTTATACTTGGACTTTAAACAAAAGGAGAAATTTGCCAAATTAAAAAAACTCCGAGACACCCAAGCTAACTTACCTGTCGCACGATACAAAGAAAAAATTGTCGAAATGGTAAAAACAGAGAAGGTAATCATCATAGCAGGAGACACTGGTTGTGGGAAGTCTACTCAGATCCCTCGATACTTGTATGAAGCTGGTTTCCAAAAGATTGGTAATGTTCTTTATCTCATTGTCATTCTAAATATTTTATATCGTTTTATTATTAATATATATGTATATTGTAAAATGTCTAATTTTTCTTTAACTCATTTGTAATACTTGTATAGCATGCACACAACCCCGAAGAATAGCATGCATCTCCTTAGCAAAGCGAGTTGCTTTTGAAACATTGAGCAATAATCTTAGTACAGTTGGATATCAGATACGTTTTGAGAAACAAAGGAATCAAGAGACAAACATTATATTTATAACAGAGGGTTTATTGTTGCGTCAGGTAAATATCTAAATATCTCTACAAACTAGTAAGTAAAGGTAGACTCAACAAATTTTATAGAATACAAATTATTATTTCATTTAGGTGTCAAGCGAGTCGACTTCACTTGCATATGATGTGATAGTTTTGGACGAGGTGCATGAACGTCATCTACACGGAGATTTTTTACTCGGCATAATGAAATGTATCATTTATCAAAAATCCGATTTAAAATTAGTTTTAATGTCTGCCACTATCAATGTAGAACTTTTTAGTAATTATTTTGCAAAGGAAAATGTTAAAATAATAGAAGTAAGTAAGTGCGTATGTGCTTGTGTGTGTGTGTACGTCTAATTTCAGAATTTTTTAATAATTTCAAAAGCTTATATATAATGACATAAATGGCATAAATGCAATTTTAAATACTTCAGTATAAATTAAATATGTCAAGTATCCTACTAAGACTTTTTATATATTTTCTTCAAAGGTTCCTGGAAGATTATATCCCATTCAATTGTTATATCGTCCTGTAACTGTGCAAGACCTCAGATACAAAAATGATCGATTTAATCCCAGCCCATACGTGCAAATTATGCAAATAATTGATCAAAAATATCCAGGTAGGGAAGCTTATATTTTATGTTATAATAATATCTAATAATAATAATAACAGTAACATAAAATGAAAAAGTTATAATAAGGAATAAAAGTAAGATTATTTCCTATTCACTAAATTTTATTTAAAATTATCTCAAATTATACAAATATAAATTAAAATAATCACAGCGATAGAAATATTTCAGTTGATGAGAAAGGTGATTTATTAATGTTCTTGAGCGGAATAAGTGAAATTACTGCAGTCGTAGATGCTGCCAAGGAATATAGTACAAAAAAAAATAACTGGATAGTTTTACCACTTCACAGTACTCTCTCTATCATTGAACAAGACAAGGTATACTTCTTCTGCGATACTATTTTGACAAATCACTTTCATATATATTACAAAAGAATATCAAAAAGTTCTTTTTTCTTTTCATCCCTAGGTATTTGATTATGCACCTGACGGTGTTAGGAAGTGCATTGTCGCAACTAATATTGCGGAAACTTCTATTACCATTGATGGAATCAGATTTGTCGCAGATAGTGGAAAAGTAAAGGAAATGAGTTATGATCCATCGTGTAAAATGCAAAGACTAAAAGAATTTTGGATAAGCAAGGCTAGT